TAATTAGCAATTAAGAAGTATCATTTACACATTTACACTAATAATAAAAAAAATATGATTTAAAGTAAAAAAAAATAAATTAACGTCCAGGGCATACATGTTTTTACGTCTCATGCTTATGATTTTACGCTCGAGGCTTACGCCCCAAATTTTAGAAATTGGGACTTATAAATCTACGTTTTCAATTTACGCTTCAGAGCGTTTTTGGTACGTCCCGTCTCGAGACTTGCCTCAAAAACTCACCCCAAAAATATTTTTGAAAACACTGAGTGCTACGATAAATCACCAAAAAAATGTAATATAGTTGATGAAACTAAATGTCTATTCAATCATACATAATATAAATTTAAATTAATCAGACATCAAAACGAATCAGGAGAAACCAGCCCAAAAAAGGACTAAGGTGGAGCACAAAAACCATCAAGGCCTTGTGAGGAAATTTTCATTATGGCATAATACATATATTTGACCCTAAACTTGATTTCAAATTTTAACTTTGACCTTCAACTTTCATAAAGCACAAACAAACACTTTAACTATCCAAATTTTAAACAAATAAAGACATGAGTCCTACATGGCACAATACACCTAAGACACCATTTAGGACAAAAAATGACATGTGTGATGATATGTAGGCATCTATTTGTTCAACTTTATACAAGTTTAAGTGTCGACTTGTGCACACCTAAAATTAAAAAGCATAAATATGATTCAAATTCAAGTTAAAGTTCATGCCTTTCATTATTGGTGAGTTTGACACAACCTGGGAGATGCATATGGTGCTATATTTCTAATAACTAATTGAACTGTAACCAACTATACTACTTATGAATTTTATTTAAAATGGACATTTTTATTTTTTTTTTGACTAATGGGACTTTTTAAAAAGTCAATTTACTTTTTAGACGCTCCATCATGTGCCCCTCCTTGAAAACTAAGATCCATTTAACATAATTTATTAAAATAATATTAATAATATAAGTTATAAAGTTAGTATATGATTAAATTATCTTTCTATAAGCTTTTTTAAAATAAAACATTCATTATCTCTCCTTAGAGCTTAAGTGTTGGATAAATTTCAAGAAAATAAATACAATAATGCTTTTCTCAATTTTTGTAAAGTGACAATTATTTTAAATCGACATACATAAAAATTAATTACAAATAAGTGAAATGCCGAAGAATAATTACATTTCCCAAAGTTAACTTAAGACTTCTTTTTTCGTATTAGGTGCGAGTGAATAAAAAATAAAATTTTCTTTTTAAGTAAAAACGTCAAATTATCAATAATATGAGTAGGTATATGGGTCGGTCCAACTAAATTTATGAATTGATAGGATTAAGTTGCAATTTTCAAAGTCATTTAAAAATAAAAATTTTAGCCCTGTCTGAATAACTCATAGCTTGTAAGCTTGAGCAATGGGGGTTGGAGCCGCCTATAGACCAAATTAAAAAGTTATTTAAAAAAAAGTTAATAATAAACAAGGGAACTCCAAATTTAAAATCTTTCATTTATCATATATAAATATTACAACGTTCAAATTAATAAGTGTCGAATGTTTACCCTGAGTTTCTTATAATAAATGGATTTGTATTTCTTTAAAAGGAAAACATAAAGTTTTCTTGTTTGGCTAGTCATTTTCTTGTACAAAAAGAAGGATACCGTAAATAGAGAGTCGTTCATTCTAATTAAATCAATATTTACAATGTAGTTCTGAAAGCTTTCAGAATTTTGATTAGTAAATAAATTTGTGAGATACAAATAATTCGTTATGAATCTCTCTGTATTTCAAATCAATTGAGTTAAGTTATTTCTCTCGATATTTTGTGGGGCAAGTGGGCAATTGGACGAAAATGTCAAATTACTTGTGCTGGATGTAACAATCACTACATGTTTTGTTATCATTTTTGTTTATTCCAACAACGGGTTTATCCATTAAAGAAAAAAGTATCATTCAAAAATATTCCTCGAACTTTTGGACACCTTCTTTTACGTTTCTTCTGTTTTCTTGTATCTTTGGTTTATCTTTTATTTAATATTTGAATCTTTGAATAATATAATTTAATCATAAGACTATTAGGAAAGAAAAAGAAAAAATAAAAATTGGAGTCACTACTAGAGATTGTCATGTCAAGCAAATTTTTGAATTATACCTTAAACGACGTTTAAGAATGATATTAATATGATGTATAAATAAGAGTTCGGGGGCTAAATGGTATAAAATGTTAACAAAAATTTCAAAATGGTATATGAATTTTTATTTCAATCAAAAGGGCAAAATCGCTGAAATAACAGTGATTTTCCGAAAAAAGTAAAATCGCTGAAAGAGCAGCGATTTGCAAAATTTGATTCTTTAAAAAAAATTAAGAAATCGTTGCCTTGACAGAGATTTTCAAAATAAAATTTTTTTTAATGATCTTTTAACAAATCGCTGCCTAAGCAGCGATTTCTTTAAAAAAAAATTTAATTATTTATTTGAAATTTAAAAAAATTAAGAGACAAATCGCTGCCAGCAAAAATTTTTATTATTATTTTTTAAAATCATTTTTTAAAAAATATTTAAATTTTAAATAAAATTTTAAATTTTTTTAGAAATTTTAGTTTTAAATTTTTTTACTACTTATTCCAAAAAAAATAATAATGATTTTTCAAAATAAGTAGTAATCAAAAATTTTTTTAAAAAATGATTTAAAAAAATAAAAAGAAAATTTGGAGACAAATCGCTACACTTGCAGCGATTTGCTCTTAATTTCTCTTCATCTTTTTTAATTTCAAATAAAAAGTTTGAAAAAAATTAAAGAAATCACTGCTTAGGCAGCGATTTATTAAAAAATGATTTTAAAAATTTAAATTTTGGAAATCGCTGCAATAGCAGCGATTTGCTTTTTCCAGCGAGTAAAATCGCTACTCTTCTAGCGATTTTGCCCTTTTGGTTAAAATAAAAATTCAATTACCGTTTTGAAATTTTTGTTAACATTTTATACTCTTTAGGCTCCGAATTCATATAAATAATATCGAGATTAATTATGTAAGAATAAAACCATAACATAACTGATAATTTCATATCAAATTGTTTACCAGTATTAACTTATATATAGTGCATCTCAGCATTTTGGTAAAATCGTGTTGCTACTGCTACTACTAGTTGACTCTATGAAAAATTATAAACATAGGTGCGTTCGGTAAGGTCTAAAATATTTTATGAAAAAAAATCTAAAATACATTTGTACTTTGACCAAAATTGTTGTAATGATACCAAACTTTGAAAAGGTCACTAGTTGACTTTATGAAAAATTATAAACATAGGTGCGTTCAGTAAGGTCTGAAATATATTAGAGAAAAATGTCTGAAATATATTCGAACTTTGACCAAAATTATTATAACGATACCAAACTTTGGAAAGGACTTTTTACCCCCTCCACTATTTAATAGTGTATTTTAAAGGTATATATGTGTCCACGTGAACATAAAAAATATTGCATAATTATAAATAATAATATATCCATATAAACACATATATATCTTTAAATACACTATTAAATAGAGCAGGAATAAAAAATCATCCGTAAAGGTTTGAACTACTTCATGCTATTGTTTTTGCATGAAGATTGAATAGTAGTTAAGCACACTCTCAGCTTATGCTACTATCCAAAGCTAATGTCTCATTCCCTTTTCTTGAAACTTTTTAATTTCAAATATTCACACAGCCTATTTAAGATCACATGATTAAAAAATATTTTCGTACGTTCTATATATATCTTGTCAAAAATTATATATTCTGTCAAAATCAGACAAACAAATTAAAATGAAAAGGATGTATATAACTGTTACTGAATATGTAAAAGAAAAATTGGCAAGGTGTTTTCAAATATAAAACTATAAACCTTAAATTAGTCATAGTATATACAAGTGTTTAAATACATTTGTTTGTTGTAAAAGGAAGATTTTGAGAAATATTAGAGCTATTTCTTCAATATTGAGAAGTAGCCTCCCTCAATATATAGTTACTCTATCCATATTTTGTAACAATCTCAAACTTTATGATTCTCGATATCGCTTCATTATTGAGGCTTTCTACTCTTTGTTCATTTATTGTTTGTTGATTATATACCTAACATCATTAATAATTGATTATATACTTAACATTGTCAATACACAGATTTGGAAAGTAAAACATATAGTATTTGTAAGTTTATGCACTTTAAATAAAATGTTGAGATGGCCGAGTTGGTCTAAGGCGCCAGATTAAGGTTCTGGTCCGAAAGGGCGTGGGTTCAAATCCCACTCTCAACATTTATTAATTTTTTTTTTTCCTTTGAAAAAGAAAATGATAAACAAGTTAAGTCACGCGAACTTGCTTGAGTTCAAATCTCACTCTCAACATTTGTGTTTTTTTCTAGAATGTTCAGTAAACTCTTCTTTTTTTCCCGTAGAATATATAGATTTCGATTTCGTTTTGAAAAAGAAAATTTTTTACTTTTTTTATTCATTACAGAACATTTAGGTTCCTATCTTATTTAGAAAAAAAAATATGTAAACAAGTTAAAGTCATCCAAACTAGAGCCCTAATTTAAAATGGTTTAACTTACCTTAATTTTTCCATAAATAAGAATAAAAATATTTGTTTGTAATTCTAATTTTTTTTAATAAGTGAAAGTTATTTTCCTCATTTTTAAGAAACTTATTTTCCTATAAGAAAAAAACGTTTTCCAAAAAGTAGAACTAAATCAGTAATCTTAGGATAAACTTATACCTCAAACTTGGTGTTATTGGTCCAAGGATTATAATCACGAGATAACTTTATCCACAAACCAAACGACCCCTTTATTTGTCAACTTTCCTCAAGTATAAACATATATTACAAGTTGTGAATTACATCTAAGTCTTTGCAGTGAAAATCAAAACAAGAAGAGATGTAACAATTGAACCAAATTCCCCAGGAAAACATGTTTTGAAGAACCAAATAACATAGCAGAAAACTTAGAAAGAGCCAAACACATCGAATTTCAACAAAGTTACTGATAAATATAACTGTAAATTAAGAACATCCATCTAGTTTTGGTACTCAGGCAGTGTCTATAGAAACATAATACACCAACTTAAATTAATAAATCTACTATAAACCAGCCCAACTCTATAAGCTTGATAACTAGTACCCCGCGAATTAGAGATTCTCAGCAGAGATTTAGTACTGAAAACTAAATGAAAAATGCCAGAAAAGTACTCTAATACTATATGTAGTATATATTTAGATATGCTTATAAGCAAAAGACCAACTGAAAAGCAATGCCACAGTGATTGATCAGAGCACTGCTTAACGAGTAAAACGCGGACGCACAGGAGTCTTTGATGGGCTTACCCTGCATAGATCATAATATTATAAAGGTTAACTCTCAGCATATATGAGACAGCAAGTTCTATGGAATCAGAAAGTAACCTTATGGGAAGTGATCCCAGGAATGCACCACTGCAGTTCAGTGCTATAATTGCGCTCTCTGCCTGAAACAGAAGAAAATTTAACATGAAACCATACATAAAGTGCGGTAAGGGATTGTTGTACCAAAATCCATCAAGGAGATATGATGACACGGATAAAGAATCAGTAAAATGGAATAGTTCAAAATTTTCTATTCAGTAATCTAATGAATATTCTACAAACGACAAAAGAAAAAATTTGGGAACTGAGGAGTGCTGAGATCACAGCAATACCACACAATGCACAGTCGCACACTAATATCAAATGATATTCTGACAAAGGCATCACGTAGGTGTTGTCTGCAATGAAAATAAGCTGCAGAATCGAAGAAAAATAGAAGAAAAGAAGAACAGACACAAGTATGTCATTTCCAAACTAAAAAGTGTTGTCCCGTTATATAAGACGCATCTCCTACTATTAAAGACAAAACGTACACTGAAAGTGTGTCACTGGAGAAATTCAGCATGAACTCTACAGTTAATGATCTCACTTTTGAAACAAACATTTCTGACAAATAACAGAAAAGAGCTTCTGGAATTCATCAGATGAAAACCTCAAATGCAGACACAGAATCCAATGAACGGAGAAATTTTTAGAGTATTTTAAGATATCCCTACCAATTCTTAACCCGTAAGAAGGATAGGATACAGTGGAAAAGGAAGAAACATACTAGTTGAGAGCAAATCATGAACTGAAAGAGTACAAAATCAATAAAACTGCAGGTTAAATGAAATTACTCCCTACTTATCAAATTGCTGGTATTAAAGTACTCCCTACTTATCAAAGTCTACGATGGTTTGGTTGGACATTAATATTATTGATTCTTTTGGACAAACAGTACCAAAAATGCATGGCTCTTACACCTTTTAATCTAAATAACAGGTCTGCATCTATGTAAATTGAGAAGTCCGAACTAAAGGCAAGAGCTTAAAAGTTGTTCACAGACAGAAGCCAAGTAAACAACAATTTGCCAGATAATCTGAATGTAGTGCAAGAGCAAAGTTCTGGGGACTGCTCTGGGAGATTCTGTTGCCACTTTCTATAAATCTGATTCCTCACCAACATGTCCACTTGAGTTGGTCAGGTATCAAAAACATCATGATTGCAATTTTTCCTTGTTTCTACTTCTCTAAATTCTAAGGCTTCTGATATCTCTAGCTGCTGCAGATGAGCTACATCAAGACTTAACATGTGTAGATAGCAACTAAATATAGTCAGATGCCTGTTCAACTGATCAAAAAATAGACACAGAAGCGAATTTTGTTTCTGCTTGTCTTGAACCCCTTCAGCAAGGTCTTTTAATTTCCTAATTTCGTTTCTATGTAAAACAAGCTCCTTCAAATTACTTTTAGTACCAAAACCCTTCATTTCTTTATTTTCAAAGGATGCAGCTTTCCAGTTCGTTTTTTCTATTATAAGTTCAACAATGAAAACCAATCCAAAAAGTATGTATAAGATTCACAAGTCAACCTGAATCAACCATAATCCTTCATGTCAATGAAACAAAAGGTGAAAATGAGCCAGTTTAACTCGTCAATAGAGGGTGAATTCTTCTCAGCTCACGTTAGTTTTGGTCAAGCATACAATCTCATTCATATCTCACTTTTATTACAGTGGAAATGGTCAATGAAGTAATGAAAAAAAGATAATTTTTTGTGATAAGTAAAGTAACTGTAAAATTAATCCTAAGAGTAAATTCTCTTGGGAAGGTAGACAAAATCCTATCAAACTGCGCACCTCTCTCATTTCATCTGCTAGTTAAGGAATTAAAGGAATACTCCCACCAAGAGAAACTCTACCTGCACTATTGAGTACCTAAAGTAGGAAAACTAAACCGAAACTGGCTATCAAATCAATAGACCTACATTATCAATTAACCTGCAGATAAAGGACCTTGTGAAGCCAAAGAAAGGTTTCACTATAGAGAAACTTGCTCACAGAACGCTGTAAATTTCATATGGCTAACAAAATTAGAGTTAGTTAGTGGTGGCAAAGAACGACACCGGTATATGCTTATACTGGGATAGCAGGAGCAAAGGGAGAAAATTTTAAGCCAAAACTCAGTTTTATGTTTTAGAATTCATAGGGGTGACCCAAGCTAGCGACATTTTGAGTTAATGCAATAAATTCAAATAGGGACCAGAGTTGGTGTTTCTACACTTTTTTGACCGCAAGAGAATCACACAACATTCAAATAAGGCACGGAGTTCCCATTAATGTGACAAAAAGATTGTAAAGGAAAAACTTGTTCTGGGGCACGGCAAATGAAACCTTTTAGAGGGCTTGGATGAAAGATTTTAGAATTTTTAACAAGGAACCACCTGGGAAGTGGCTATAAAGATTTAGGATTGAAGATTAGACATTACGAAGGGAGGTGATAGAAAGATATACAGAGTTGTCGAAAGAAAATGGAGGCTAGAATGTAAAATTACCTTATAGATAAGTCTTTTCAGCAATATCATAAAGGGTTAAGAAGAACTTAGCAACTTTGTTACCTATTTAGATGGGAATGAAAGAAGAGTCTTGTGGGATCAACAGTAGTCATGGAGAGAGCGTGTTGATGAAGACCATCCCTAGCTCATTCACAAATTCATGCAAAAAAGAGATGATGGCAACAGATCCAGGTGGTACAAGAGGGGTTCATGAGACTAGTGATCAAAAGAAATCTAAAAGATTGGGCAGTAGTGAAATCCAAAGCTTGATGGGAATGTTCTATTCTCAGGATAGCACTCACTGGTCAGGACTTGTGAAGGTGGAAGCAAGAAATGATGGTGCGTTTTCACAGAAGTCGTTGGTCAAAAAGTGTCGGGCTCAATAAAAGATGTGTTCATACTTCATAGTAGGCTGCTAGAAGAAGGAAGAGAAGATGCAGGGCACGGGATGTTGCCCCGCTAGTCATCATGTGGGATTAGAACGAAATAGGAAGCTTAAGAGGGGTTAGAAATTATTTCATAAATTTGAGGAATAGCCTCTTATTTAGTTTTTGGTGCACATATGAAGTTCTTGTGGTCGTCTGTGCAGATGTACAAAAACCATATTATTGTGTAGATTCTCTACTTTTTAGTATATATTGTAGATAACCATGTTACTGTGTAAGTTCTCTACATCTTGTTACAGGAGCTATCCCACATTAATACAACTACTTACCCACTCGGAACCACAAGAGCAAAGTAAAAGAGATAACAGACTTTGAGCAGATAAAATGCTAAAGAAAAGCATTTGCAAATAACAGGATCCGACATAGATAGCAACTATTGGAAGTGACAGTAGCTTTGATGATGGTAAGAAGAAGAGGTCCACAACTCAAGTTAGTATAAACAGCAATGAAAAGTCAGAAGCTCATGAAAGTTACCATGACAAACTCAACAAAAGCGATACGAGTCGAATGATGATAGTCACCAAGCAACCTCAAGCGATGAACCTATGTTAGAGAAGAAAATCCATAACAAAGAGTTAGGATTTTAAGAAGGAACAGCACGTCAGACTTGTTACATGAGCAGCTACAAACCTCTCCACATAAGGACTCAAAAAACAGCTTGACATCTGCTTGAGTAATCTGCTTCATACAAACATACAAGTAGTAAATATTTTCTTCATTGAAGTCCATCAAAAAAGTGAAATTGTAAACCCAAAATACCTTCTTATCAATATTTGTACAGTACACAGTTCTAGCACACATCTCTCTTTCATCTTCAGACTAACATCAGCGCAAAAGGTGAAAATTTTAGTATTAGCAGCACTAAGTATGCATTTGCCACTCCTAGGGCATTGTTACAAAGGGTAAACTACATGTAGCCAAAATTTCTCACCCTAGGAAGAAAGGTTGGATTAACCGGTGCAATCGCAGTTTTAGAAGGAAGCACTCTCACAGGATAACCCCCAAGGATAGTTCCTGCAAGACTCAGAGCACTCTTTGCACCTTCTGCATAACATATTGGGGAAAATGTGGAGTTAGAGAACAAGCACCCTAACAATCTAGCCAGAATATATAAACAAATAATCATGTGTCAACCTACCTTCATCTGTAAACTCAATAAAGGCGAATCGAAGTACAGAATTGGTGTCACCACATATACGACAGTCAACAACCTTACACGTCAATGTTAGTCAGAATGGAAACAAGACATTTCCTCAACATAATTGAAAGGCAAAACAGTGAGAACTAAAAGTACTGATGCTTGACATAATGGATAGATATCCACCTGTCCGCAATCAAGAAAAAGTGATGCGAGCTGCTCTTCAGTCACCTACACAAAAGAAGAAGAAACAGAATTATTAAAATAAAAAAGATGAAGGTGCAGTAACCCAATTAATAATAACACCCAACTCTCTTTTTTACCTGATGATCAATGTCGGATACATAAACCGTCCTCCTTATAACATCTTCCCTTTGGGCCATGCCTGTTCGGGTATTCATCCTTCTCCTTCCATGACCGTAGCCATTTTTCTTCTACATGCACAATGTAAACTCCACCAATCAGCTCAAACTCACGAACGTAAATATATTTCCAAAAGAAAAAAACAACGAAGCTTTGTCTTTTTCCAAAATAAATGGTAAAGAAAGATATAAAATAAACTCAACACCCTTCACTTGAACACTAAAATGACTAAAGCCCTCTTATTACTTTTATGCAAAATAACAATTGGACTATATGAAATGTCCTCTTGAGTGATCATCTCACATCTACCATACTAAATGATTCTGGAAAGTAAACAATGTTAAAAGTGGAGAACCTAACATATACGTATTCCATTGCAAACAAACGAACAAATATAAATTATCAACTTTTGCTTTAGACCAAATAAAAACATGATAACTTAGAAAGGAAAATAATCACTAACTGACACCCTTCATCTTGAAATTACATAAACTCCTAAGATATCAAGACATCAAATACTGTCTTTGTCAAAGCTGCAACCCAATGTTCCTAGTGATCAAATACATTGCAAGTAGGTTGAAAGCATTCTACATTCGAGAAATACACTACTAACAAACCTCGATTCACGGAGAAAATTCATCAAAAATAAATCACTATTTCATCAATAAAAATAAGTTCATACCCTTCTGTTGGAATTTCCATTGGCCTCAGTCTGCATTAGAAAATTGTTAGCATCAAAGCCAAAATACACTGCGCCGGGTGTATATGGCACTAGCATGTTGTTGTTAGCCATTGAAAGAGGCACAAACTCTTCAGCCATGGGATTCAATTTGGAAAGCATTTCCTCCAAATCCCTCATCTCCTTCTTAAACCCTTCATCACCACCATCAACACCGTTCATTTTCTGATGCTGAATACTATGACTATCCAATACTCCATTACCATTCACGCTTTCCTCTTTCTGCTGAATTCCATTCTCCTTCTGGGGTTCTTCCTGCTCCTGCTGATTAACAGACATAATTTCAAAATTCTGATCGCTGGAAACCTTCGACCTCTGCACATCATTGTTCTGTTTCGTTTTCACTGACTGATGATCAACAACAACATCCTTCTGTACAATTCTTCTGGGATTCGATGAAACAACAACGTTAATAGCAGCATTCTCAACCACAGCCATGATTATAACAAAGAACGCTCCTTTTTCTCTTCTCCTCCTACCCTTTTTGGTATTCTATCAAAAACCCAACAACAAAAATAAACAAAAGATCACTTTTTTTTTCTCAAAAAGATCAAATTGGGTTTTTGAATTTATTACTAAATCGAGAAATAAATACAGAAATCATACCTGATACTCTCTAAATGACAACCATTTTTGCTACTACAAAAAACAGAGCATCATCAGCTACAAAATGAAAAATCAAAAAAGCTATGAACAAAACAAGAAAGGGATTCTTTGTTTCTCTGTTTGGAGTGTTGTAGTGTATTGTTTTTACTGATTCTGCAGAGAGAGACAAGATATGGAATAGTACTAAACTCCACTAGTTTATAGCAGGAGAGAGAAGAAAGAGGTGGGTTGTTCGGATCTTCCGTTTTGACACACTTCCTTTTTGGACTTTCTTCACACTACTCGTTCGAGCCAGTTAAAATTATACCGATATTAATAATATAAAATAAATTAGATATAATATATATATTTGATCTTCAATTTTTATAATGCACAAATAGATATTTTAACTATTCAATTTTAAATAAATAAATACATGAATTTTATATGGCAATATACATGTAGGACAAAAAATGACATGTAGGATGACATGTGAGTCTTTTTGTTCAACTTTATACAAATTTAAGTGTCTGTTTGTGCACATTCAAAGTTGAAGGATATAAATATAATCTGAAGCCAGATTAAATGATATATTTATGTATTATGCCGATAAATTATTTATACATGTATAACTTGTTAATATATAACATCTTAATAACTCATGTTCATTCTAGCAAGTTAAAATTATGCAAATATTAACAATATAAAATAAATTATATATACATGTATAACTCGTTAATATATAACATATTAATAACTCACGTTGAGACAATTCTTTAGAGTTTTTTTTTTTCAAAAAAAAGAACAGGTTAAAATCAACATTATCATTGTGTTTATTATTACTATATATACTATCTGTTAACTTATCTTGATATTCTAACACTTTATTTATAATAATATGATTTGTTTGAATAATTCTTTAACAATCATAAAGTAATTTACTTAAAAAAAATTACAATGTTACTTATTTAGATATTTTCTTAATTGATATAATAAAATATTATTATTAAAAATATACCATATAGCATAACAAGAAAAAATTGGTCTTTTATTATTTCTTTATTCAATTTATTGATCATTTGTAATAGGCACTCCTTGAAATGTAAAAAATATAATTGACTTTTTGGTTTAAATGTTGAGAAAATATTTTAAATAAATGCTAATCAATAAATATAAATGGTTCCACATGAATCCTCTGCCTAATACCATTGAAAATTGTGGCATGGTATAGTAAATATTTTTTAACCTTTTAACTTAAAAGTCTTAATTCATTTTCCAATTAAAAGTTTGAAATGTTTATTTTATTTTTATTTGAAAGTCCCAAATTTGTGTTTTGGGTATAAAGTCATTAATACTTGTAAGACTTTTCCAAATGTAAATAAGAATTAGTCAAATTTTAAATAAGTACCTTAGATCTCCATTAAAAAGAAAAAAATAATAAATTCTCTACATAATATCAGTTCTTATTGAAATTCAAGGTGGTTATAAAGTATTATAACATCACAATATTTAAAGATTTTTTATTTTAACATCTAAATTATATAAAGTCGAAGTAAAAGATACTATAATAATTAAAAGAAATGTGCATTAAATTACGAATTTCAATATTTCAATTTTGAAATTAATCAAATTTTGGTGAGTTTGCTGATTTTAAAGTTGTGCCTACAAATTATATTTTAAAAAATATATTTATACTTTAAATATTTTCTTTATAAAAATATGATCATAACAACTTGAGCTTCAAAAATTACGAATAATATAAATAATATTTAATTTTTATGATTAAATGCTTATTTAATTATTATAAATATATTTGTTATGTAAACATTAATTATTATCTATACGATTAAAATTAGCTACTATATTTATCAACAACGTTAAAAAAGAAAAAGTTAGATTTGGGGTCCTTTTTACTTTTTTCATCTATAATACAGCAATCTACATATTTACGCAAGTAATGATAGTATGTGTTATTATTATGAATTCGTCAATTAAAATCAAATCATAATTAAAGAATTATGTATTTTAAAATTGTATTTTCAAATTTGAGGTATAAATTATCAAAGTGTGAGTTTCTTGTTAGAATTATCATTTGATAGTTAGTGAAACATATGCACTCTTTCTTTTATTTAAAATTTCTGTCAAGTGTTATTTTATGTGAGTAAATAATTTTATCGTGACAAATTTAAATAAATTAATATTAATTAAATGGTAAAAAACACTTTGAACATGTTTGGAAGAACATCATGGTTATTGGATATAGTATAACTAATGTAATTACATTGTCTGTTCTATTTGGTTGGACAGAGTAATTACTCGATCAGCAGGTAATTTGTATAATTGGCAGGGCTAAGTACACTCTACAATTCAAAAGAGGCATAGGTTGTGAATTGCATATGTATAATTATCAGCTATTACTTTTTATTTTTTTTATATATATTTATATTTTTGTTTTTTTGTTTTAATTTTTTTTACTTTTATTATTTTAGTTTTTATTTTAATTTTTATTATTTTAAGATTTGTAAAAAGTTTATTTTTTATTTTATATTATTATATTTCATTTTATTCTTGTTCTCTATCTTACTTTACGTGATTTTATGTAATTTTTTCGTATTATTTATTTCTTTACGCCATCTTTGTTTTCTCACTAGCGAAATTTTATTTGTATTCTAATTTTTAAATTAAAATAGAATTTATTGTTAAGTAAGGTTACAGATTTTCATTTTTTTTAAAAAAAAACATATTTATACATGTTAGAAATTTACTATAAGAGTATTATGTTAAATTTATTTGTTTTTAATTTTTTCAATTTCATTTGTTTTAGTAATATTGAATTCACATTGCACGATATTTTTTAATTAGACTTGATAGATTATATTTTTATTAAACATTTAATTACTCATGACTTTTTATTTATATATTACTCTCTTTATGCATTTCAAGATGTTCGTACAAATTTCATACTTTTAGTTTTTACGATCAATCAATTGAAATATATTAATTTGAAAAAAAATAATTCAATTATTATTTTTCATATTATTAGTTAAAGAAATTGTGTTTATTAATTTATATATTTTTAAAAAAGAATATATATCTTAAAATATTTAATTTCATGTCATTTATAAAGTTTCTTATTTGTCTAGTATAAATTTTAAACAATTAATTTTTATTTTTGAAATTTAGTATAATTTTATAATTGTAATTGTGCATCCAAATAGAACATTTGTAATTACACTGTGACATCCAAGCAGAACAGATGTAATTACACTGCAATTACATTGTGACAACCAAACAGGTCAGTGTAATTACTAGACTAATAATTACTACTCTAATAATTACACCAATTTCAATTGTTAGATGGCTTTCTAAACAATGTATATATCAAATGAATGAAAAATTATCCACATAAACATTTGAACTAATCAATGTTTAGATATATTTCGTTTATCATGGGGGTGGTAATTCAAATAAAAAAAATTACACGCATAATAATTTAATTACGAAACTCAATAAAATGGATAGTTAAAATATTGTTTTAATCCTTAATTTTAATTTAAATATATAAATACAATTTACTGCAATATAGTTGGCTTTAAAAAAGAATTTGGTGGTAATATTAGTAGTTTAGAATTAGTCACGTGCAATAATGTACGTGGTCACATAGCATTGGCATGTGTGATACGTTTTGGGGTGCTAAATATGCCAGCCTATCGCAGCTAAATATTTTTATTATTTTTATATTTCACCGTTATTCGATATTTATGTTAAAGTTTGATTAAATTTAATTTTGTATTAATAAGTCTCACATTATCAATTAAATATATAATTTGTGTTCGTAAAAAGCCTGAGAAATTGTTGTAAATTACTTTTTGTTTGTGTAAATTTATTTTGAAGAGGCATAATAAAAGTATTTTTTGTCATGATCGTTGAGGAGTATAAAAAAAAATTAACGACATTCAAAATGATAAAGCAATAACTAAAATATATGAATTTAAAACTAATTGTCATAACTAAAACGGATTTCATAATTTTGAAAAAAAATTTATATACTACTTAAACTAAAGTAGAACAAAAGAAGTAATTAACTTTAAAATATTTCCGAATCACGCTGAAGCAGGCGTGTCAACGGAGTCATGTCTGCTTCAACGTGAAGTCTTGAATTTATAGTTAAAAGTCATAGCTAAAACGGATACCATAATTTTTTTAAAAAAATATACACTAATTAAATTAAAGTAAAATAAAATAAATAAATTTTTATTTTTTTCAAAACATATTGAAACAGGCACGTTGTCACGACCCAAAACCGAGCCGCGACTGGCACCCACACTTACCCTCCTGTGTGAGCGAACCAACCAATCTAAACCTTAACGTTTCAATATAATATCAACAGAAAGTAATGCGGAAGACTTAAAATCATTAATAAAATCAATAA